CTGCAGCACCTCCCGGGCATCAGCCTGGCGGGCGTCAAGGCGCTCACGCGCGGCGTGCCCGGCCTTGAGCGGGTCGCGTGCGTAGGTTGCGCGGCGGTGGCGGCGGCGCCGCGCGAGGCGGCCGCGCGGGCGGGGGTCCTGGGGGCGCGGGTGGTGGCGATCGAGGTGGCGGATCAGCAGTGATGAGTCACGGCACCGGTTGACGAGGGTGGGAGGGCAAGCAGCAGGCACTGGCAGCGGCTGGGGCTGATATTGCCCTGTACAAAAATGTTCCAACGACCATTCGGAGACCTCTTGCAGCCCTCACTTACTCTTACGGGCAATTGTTTGCAGCCGCGGCAGCGGCGGCGGCTTTGGGGCAGGGCGCCAGTGGGTGGGGACAGCGGTGGTGGCACGGACGGTGTTGGCGGGTCGCTTTGCTGGCAGCAATTCGAAAGCGGGGACACCCTGCGTTGGGGGAGGCCACCCCACGAGCGGCAATGACAGCCGGCTTGCATGGCGGGATTGGGGGCTGGGGGTTGACGAGATGGTTTCGAGCACATTACGCTATGGCTCTTCGGCAAAGTACAAAGGCAATTTTTGCCGCAGGATATCGCTTCCTTTCCCTCCTCCTCGGCGCCGTTGCCAGTTGCGGCTGGCGCTCCTTTTGTGGGGGTGCTTGGCGATTTTTGCGTTGACCGTCGGCTTGCCCTGCATGCGTTCGTGCGGACCCTTGCGTGCGAGCCCGTTGGCATCCCCACGTTCAGCCCCCAACAGCACCTTGTGTGCACCTTGGCTTTGGCGCACAATCAATCATCCCCTGTACGATAATCCCAGGACTGGCGTTGCATTGGGGGGTGCTTGGGTGGGGAAGCTCGAGTGTTGTTCGCCATAAGATGCCAGCATGGTTGGGGCTGCCATGCTTGATTGCGCCTTCCTTGCAGCGAGCGGCGGGGCGTGGTCGGCGCTTGCAAATCTGGCCGGCTGGCCAGAAGTGTGAGGTGTGCTGCAAGATGACAGGCCACGGACGGGCTTTTGCTTGCGGTGCCCATACATTTGCATTAATTATCCCATATCGAAGAACCTACACGGGTGCACAAAACTCAGAGACGGCCCGAGCTGTCCAAGTGTTCCGCGCGGGTGACCCAGCCCCGCCCGCGCACGGACAGAAGCCTCGAGCAGTCTCGGCGAACCAATACAGCAAACATGGGTCTCGGCGCAGTCGATGCGAACGCCGCGCCAGTGGCGGCGGCGCAGTCAGCAGCGGTGCACAGTGGCCTTCACAGGCGCCAGATAGCGCGCATCCTGCTCGCTGTTGGGCTCGGCATCATCCTCGGTGAGACGAAGCTGCCAGTTGGGACGCGCTTGGTGCCGCCGTGCTGCGAGGGGCGTTTGGGTGCGCGCGAGTGCGCACCCAACCGCCCCACAGCGCGCAGCTGCGGGCCGCAGCAGCGTTTCTGTCTATCAGCGGCCAGGATGTGTGCGCGCACAAGCGCGCGTGCGCGCACAGCATTACTTGGCGCGGCGACAGTCGCGCATGCGAGGCCGGCCCTGTGACGCGCCTGCCCCTCCCCTGCGTCGTCACACCCACTGCTGTTACTGGCGCGCCATGACCTCTACTTGTGTGGCGAATCTCCAGAGTGGTGTGAGTATCCGGCCCCTCGTGGCCACTTGCATGGCAGAGTGTACCCTTGCGATTGCAGCAGCCAGCAAACCGACAGCTTGCTTGGAGAAGCGACACCCGCCCACCACGCGTGCGCATGCGGCACGCCCATGAGCTGCGCGCGCCTGTTCCCGCGCACACTGCACCCCGACCCCCGCTGCGTCGCCCCTCAACGCCCCCGCCCCGCGCCCGCGCCGCCCGCCTCGACCCCGCCCGGCAGACGACTTTGTCGTGTTTAGTAACCTGTCGGCGGTCATCACCAAGGCGTTCTTCCCGCCGGGAAACCCGGCCACCGAGGCTCTCCTGTTCTGGGGGATATTCGCGGTCGGCTTTGTGGCGAGGCCGGCTGGCTCGATCCTCTTTGGACGTGAGGCAGTGGGGGGAGGCGAGAAATGTTTGAAGGGAGGGGGCTGGGCGGGGTCGGGGAGGATCGAGTTGTGCTGACTGTACAGCTTGCATGCAGGCAAGAGAGTGCACATGCATGCATGTGCGGCAAGGATCGTGGGGCTTTGCATGCTCGAGGTGGCACCCCCGCCATCGTGTACAGCCTGCAGCATGCAGCGTGACTACATGCCCGCTCGGCGCCCACTCTTCTGCCAACAACACACACTCAAAAACCCTCGCATTCCCCTCGAAACCCTCACGCCTTGCCCGCACTTCTCACCCCTCCCCTCTTATCTCATCCCCCCAAGACATCGGCGACATGTACGGCCGCCGCCCCTGCCTCGTCGCCACGGTGTCCATCATGGGCGTCGCCACCGTCCTCATCGGCTGCCTGCCCACCTACCAGATGATCGGCCTCGCCTCCCCCATCCTCCTGGCGCTGCTGCGGCTGGTGCAGGGACTCGCCATGGGTGCGCGCGTGCTGCCACGCGCCATGGCTGGCAGGGCTGCTGCGCCTGTGGGGCTTTCCGGGCGGCCGCGCCCTCCTTGCTGCCCTTGTGCTGTGAACACATTGTCTTTCCCACTTGCTGCATGGTCATGATACCGTGTCGTCCGCGGAAGCTCAGTGGTCGGCCGACTCATTTGAGTTTGAATGTCTTTCGTCGCGTCGTGGACTCTTCTGAGCACTGAAAAGACAGCCCCTATGCTGAGGTGACTCGTTGTCGCCTCTCTGAGATCCCTGACCCCTCTGAAAACCCCTGAACCCCAACCAGGCGGGGAGTTCGGCTGCAGCCTGGTGTACTTGCATGAGGTTGCGCCCCCCAAACGCAAGGGCCTGTCCGGCTCCATGGGCTTTGCCGCCGCGATCGGCGGCATCGCGCTGGGCGTGGCGCTGGTTATGATCGTGACGGCGGCCTGCACCAAGGAGCAGCTGGCGGTGTGGGGCTGGAGGTGGGATGGCTGTGTGTGATGTGGCTTCGTTGCGCTCGCTGCATCGGGCGTAAGGAACAGCAGGGTAGATGCCCGACGGCACTGCACTGCCCGCCACCGACCGGCGTGCGACCTAGGCTGCAGAGCGACGCGGGGAGCGTCAGCCCTCACCACCTTTGCCCAATCCCTCCGCGACCGCAAACCCAGGGTGCCGTTCCTGCTGGCGTCAGTGACGGCGGTGGCGGCGGTGCTGCTGCGCGCTCACATGCAGGAGCCCGAGGAGTGGACGGCCGCGAAGCGCGAGTCCGACGCGGCCGCCAAGGCCGACGCCGCCGACGCCGCCGCAGCCCCGCTCTCCCGCGCGGCGCGCTTCAGGCGGCAGCCGTTTGTCGCGCTGCTGACGAGCAACTGGTGGCAGCTCGGGCTGCAGTTCCTTTTTGAGGCCGCCGTCAGCGTCAGCTTCTGGCTGTGCACGTCCTACCTCCCCGGCTTCTTCCAGAAGACTGTTGGGCTTCCGGCTGAGCTGTCCCTCGGGATGTTGCTTTTCAACCTCATCGCGATGTGCCCTGTCATCATGCTCAGCGGCTGGGCGGCCGACAGGCCCGGGTTCCATCGGGTGGTGGGCGCCCTGATGGCGTATGGGCTGAGCGCTGCGATGAGCGCGCCCATGTTCCTCGCCTTTCAGGTGGGGGCTGGTTTGTTCTGTGCGTTTGTAAGTATATGTGTGATTGTGTGTGTGTGTGTGATTGTGTGTGTGTGTGTGCGTGCCGGCGTGTGTGTGTGTGTGTGTGTGTGTGTGTGTGCGTGCGCGTGCGTGCATGTGTGTGACCGGAGGTGTCGGGAATTAATTGCGGGTTCACTTGGTCATCTTTGTGCTGACCTGGCGCAATGTGTTGACCTGTAGATGCTGCTGGAAGCACTGCGCGCCTCTCTATCTTGCCCCACCCTGCGCATTTCTGGTGCCCTGTTTCACACCACCCAATCCCCTCCTAGTCTCAAAACACCCACCGCCCTCCTGTAACGCCCCCACTTCTGCCCTGCCACGATAATCACACCCCTCAATCAACCCACCCTCCAGGCTTCCAAGACCGCCTACACCTGCTGGCTGCTGCAGCTCGTCTACATGCTGCTCCTCGCCTGGGTCCTGGGCATGGTGCCCGTCTCTATGTCCTGCCTCTACCCCCCGACGCAGCGCGCGTCAGGCTTCAACTTTGGCCACAACTGCGCCATGAGCCTCATGGGAGGGCTGGCCCCGACGGTGGTGACGGTGAGCGGCGGTCAGGGAGTGCGGTTTCGCAGGGGGTGTTGTTTTGCAGTGGGTGCAGGGAGTGTTGTTTTGCAGGGAGTGTTGATTTGCAGGCCTGCGGTCCTTGCTGTGTGTCACAATGGCTCCGCTGAGTGGCCGGTTTGGCGCGTCGCCGCGGCCCGTGCGCCGCTCGCCCGACCTCGTGTGTGCCCGCGGCTGCACATGGCCGAGGTTACGAGCGCCTGTCAGCCCTGCTTGGCACGGTGTCAGTGGACGTGCATACCCCC